TCTTAAACAACAAATCAAATTTTACAAATCAATTAAACAAGAAAAAACAATTCTTATTTACACATCTAAAAAAACAAATCAACAGCATATTGATACAATTAGCCCCAGACAGTATATCCAAATGCTCCTAACAATAGGGAGCTTACATCCAAATACATTCATGCAACTCACTTCAGGATTAACCTGCAGAAACCAATCATTTACTCAAACAACACTTTCTACACATCTAAAACCAACAAACAACAAATTATTGAATTCTAGGTACTTAAACCAAACATTTTCAAACCAACAAGTATATAACAGTTAACAACACTTGCACAAACTTACCAATAACAACTGGTTGTTTATGCACAAATACATCAATTTCACGCAACTCACTTCAGGATTAACCTGCAGAAACTAAACATTTGCTCAAACAACACTTTCTACACATCTAAAACCAACAAACAACAAATTATTGAATTCTAGGTACTTAACCAAACATTTTCAAACCAACAAAGAGTATATATGTTAACAACACTTGCTCAAACTTACCAATAACAAATGGTTGTTTATGCACACTTTCAGCACGTGGATACAGATAGGCAACGTCTCGAATATATCGCTCTAGCCATAAAATGACGAAACCACAACCCTACTGTACCTCTATCTCTATCTGTGGGAGGTAAAAAATGTTTACCTCCTGTCGTCAAACATTCCAAGCACATGCATACAAGAGGACCACAATCCCCTCTGGCTCCAGCCGTTTGTTGTGGCGTTGTCTCGTCTCTCATCATTGTAGCTTTGTACTTTTTTGGCTTATTGTTTCCAGAATTAGTCCAATAATCAATCGCATCCAAGTATTTAGCCAAATGAGCGCTTCATCCCTTACAAATAATATCTTTCAAATCAGACAATGGTATGTAATTCAATATGCTGTCATATACTATCGTCTTCAGTGATGGGAGCTGAAGCTCAACGAGAAGTCAATGACGACATTCCATAACAGGGATAAACACCTGCAATCATAAATAATAATTCAATTGAGCACATCAAATAAAATTTATGAACACCTTTAAAATATTCAAAAATAAATACTAACCTTATCGATCTCCCACCACGCAGGATAAAGCTTAGCTTTTCCATTACCCAACGCATATGAAGCATCTCTCTGATCCTTCAAGTGAGCTACGTGAAAAGATGAATGCATAATAGTCCATCGCGTCTTTTTTATTTTCTTCAATTTCCTTATAATTAGAAGACGTGACACCCATGCATCAATATACTGTGGATAAAAAAAATACATATATTAGTGAATTTAATAAATTTTTAAAAAAATAATCAAAATACAATATAAGACTTACCCCCATTCAAAATAGTCATTCTCTCCAACCCCTAATAAAACACCCTACCAAGACCGATCAAGAAACAAATGCATACTATAGTCGATTTTGCATATGTCAGCGTAACACCCCCTGGCTTCGCTCATGTAGATAAAAATCAACTGCGGTCTTAGCCCAAAGGGTATTATCCATAATTGTGTCCGGTAGTGTTCTCATCTCCTGCTGAGGAATGGTACTGGCTGGTAACTCATACGAAAGCCAACTCTCATCCATCATATCGGGCACGTGAGGGGGTTTATCAATATGTCGACATAGTATGCCATGTGAATCGGGCTCTTGAACGGTGGGAGAGACCTCTTGAATGATGACAGGGCCTCTTGAACGGTGGGAGGGGCCTCTTGAACGATGAGAGTGGCCTCTTGAACGATAGGAGGGGCCTCTTGAATGATGACAGGTGAATCGGGCTTCTTCTTACGGATTCTTGGCACTATTGGGGTGAAAGGAGACGTAATGACACGTGCACGACGTCTGATGTGTAAACCCCATCGTGCAAGAAAAACCCAACCTAAAGCATCTACGTTATCGGGCCGCTAAAAATAAATTAATACATAAATAAATAAATAAATATATAAATAATGTCGAAAAAAGGTTATTTGCATTTTTAGTATAGTATTAAACAAACTTTCCTCATTGCATAGAGTATGAACCTCATTCTACAACGATGAAATAATCTCACGTAGAGCGGCTAACTCATCACATAAAGTAGATACCTCACCACGTAAAGCACCATGGTCATCGCGTAAAACATCTACCTCACCACGTAAAGACCTTAGCTCATCACGCTATGCACCATTATCGTCACGTAAAGTACCGACCTCATTACGCAAAGCACTGACCTCATCACGTAACTCCCCTAACTCATCACGTGGAGGTGGAGAACAGGGAGATAAATGTCATGACATCTTTGCCGGTCGCCTATCATGAGGTGATGGTGAAGAAGAGGCTCGATGATATGATGGAATAGGTGATGGCTCTCATTGTGGAGGTGTATAATCGGTTCGATCCAGTGATGGCTCTAGGTGTCGAGCTGTAGAATCGGCTCGATCAGGTGATGGCTCTCGAAGTGGGGGTGCTCATCATCCGTCCCATAAAAAAATACTTACTAACTTGCCACCAATCAGTGGCAAGCATAGCCTCTGTGGGTGTCAGCCTTTGTAATGGATAGTTGGCCTCCTAACAATATAAAAGCTCAAACAAAGTTAAACGTCTACTAGTAATAACTTGTTTATATATGGTAGTATTTGTGTTAACTTACATCATTCATCATCGTATATGGTAGTAAATATTCCCAATCCAACAACCGGATCCTTCTTCAGGTAATAGCCCTAGGAATATCATTTGAATTTTTTCTTTCATATGTCCGCATGTTGGGAAAAACCTCAAATATCCAAATCTACAAACAATATAATACACAAACATTAGTAATTATTAAATAATTAATTATAATTTTGGAAACATTATATATAAATTTTTACCTTAAAGGCCCAATAAAGCCTACCAAAGTGTATTTGGATCCATCGCCACGCAAACTACGACGATCCTCAAAGGCAGACGAAAACTTTTTCCAGGTAGCTTTCCATATATATGAACCCCACGGAAACACGTTCCATGCATTTAGGTCATCTACCAATAATATTAGGTCATCAGAAATAGTTTGTCTAGCCTCTTTGCCTAAAAAGCCGGCATTCAAAAGTAATAAAAGTCATACTCGGACAACATCAAGGTCATCCATCAGAGTAAAATCATCTTTAAGAAGTAATCTTTTCAAGTCGTCGATGAGTAAACTGGGCTTCTCCTTTGCCAGCTCAGGAAAAACCCGAGATAACCATGATGGGAGAGCGATATGACTAGTGTACCGACCTACTTCATCGTGTCTGAAACGTAGACCAGTGATTAAGCAAAACTCCTCCCGCCCAAAACAAGTATATGCCGATGGAAAATGAAACCATATCTCTTCATCACCACGTTGTATCCTCTTGGGTAGATCATTAGTCATGGTCTAAAGAAACAATTGAGTCAACATAGCATCTCCACCTGGATGTTGTACTTTCAGCCATTGCCCGAAGCATGTATCCTCAAACAATTTTATTTGTACAGGTTTAAGTGTCGACACTATTGTAGTGGCTAGGCTTAATTTATTCCTTATAGTCAATGAAGCCGAAAAAAATTTCTAACAAAAACAATAAACATACCAAGTTAGATATACCAAAAACTACAAATTATACACTATAAACAGACATGATATTAAACAGTGAAAACAAAGCCAAATATGTTTAAAACTAGTACGGTATTCACCCAAGTCATTATTCTATTATAGTTTTTTTGTTGAAGTAATGCAATTCATTCAAGTTTCAATTTACAGAAGAAGAGTAGTTTCTAAAACTTAAATTCACAACGCGAAAATAAAAATCGCAACGCGAAACTAAAATCGCGTTGCGATTTTCATTTTCGCGTTGCGATTTTCGTGTTGCGAATTTAAGTTTCAAAAACTATTCTTCTGCAACTTGAAACTTGAATGAATTGCATTACTTCAACCAAAAGACAAAACAAAGATAAATACTAACTTCACAGGGTTAAAGACTAAACAGTTTAGCAGTATTGACAGCAACCGAATGAATTTACTAAGCAATCTAAGTGAAATGATTAATCTATATATTGAAATTTCCAGTAAATTTATCATCAATTTAAATATGAAAAATCTAATAATAAGAAAAAAAATTCAAAAAAAAAAACAAAAAAAAAAACTAACCCTCGGTGGTTGATTTTCCATTTGTGGTCGTGAATGGTTGTGAGGGTGGCTCTGAGAGACGGAGATAGACGGATTTCGCTGGAGATAGGGATGGATTTCGCCAGAGATGGGGACGGATGTCGCCGTAGAGAGTGAGAGATGGAGATGAGATTGAGTTGTGACTTTGGGTTTTAGGTTATGAGTTGCGATTATATTGTTTACATTTGTGTTGTGAAATTAATATTGTGTTTCGAATTCGAAAATAAAATTCGTGTTGTGAAAATAAATGCGCTTTGCGAATTTGACTACTATGTTGTGAATTACAAATTCGCGTTGTGAATTTGGAAACTGTGTTGCGAAATTGGAGTTCGCATTACGAATTTATTGGTCATTTTCGTAAATCCAAAAAAAGTTGGTTAAAATCGTATATTATAAGGCATTTTCGGTCACTGAAGTTATTTTCTCTTAAATTAATAGATATAGATATTTTTTTAATTACAACATTATGATTTATTTAGATGAAGTATGCATATAGTATATTTAATTTTTATATATTAATAATTAAATAAATCGACTTTATTTTATTATTGGATTTAAACCAAACAATTTTTTTTGGATAATTTAATTTTATTACCCAAGAAAGCAGAGATCTGCTTACAAAACAATCCAATCATAGGAACAAAAAATAGGGGAACCTATGTACAACAAAATTAGACTATACCCCAATGGTTACATAGAGCTAAATTTGTGCTATCAATTCTATTAATATTCCTATTACTTAAGACAATTCCAACAATCGACCTAATGATGTTAATAACATCTTCTTCACTTCTGCATTTTCCTGCGAAGATTCTTCGGTTCCTTTCATCTCATATGGTGTAATTAAAAGCTCACCAAGAGAGCTTCAAAATAGTAGAAATCATAGATTTACCTTTCCATGTATTGACTGCCCATTCCAGCAAATTGTACCATGAAAATGATGGTCTGTTCAAACCAGAAAGTTGAAGAAGAGACCTCCAGATTGAAGATGTCTGTAAAAAGTTGGCAAATAGATGATTTTGTGTTTCATTAGCTTCAGAACAGAAAATACAATCAGTATTAGTAACCAGACCAAAGCGTTGCAGTCTGTCCTTGGTGGGAAGCCGATCTAATAAAGTCTTCCAAGAAATCACACTGTGCTTCGTTATATGAAGGGGAAACCAGATCAGTTTTTCCCAAGTTACTTTGTTGTCTTTTGGCCGACTACCTTCCCAAATTTCCTTCGTATTAATAGCAGAAGAAGAAACAACCAGAGGTTTGCAATGCATCTTAATTTCAATATACGTCTGAAACACTAAGAGGAATTCAATAGTTCAGCCATGGTCCAAAAGTCTTTGTGTTTGATGATATAATTATGCGTCTATGCTACCCACAATGAACCTTCTCCTGCAAGCAGTTTTCGGGTCTGCTGAATTAAACATGCAATATTCCAGGATTTAATATCCTTGAGACCCAGGCCTCCTTAAGATTTAGGCTTACAAATTTTAACCCATTTCATCCTTGCTCTAGCAGCAGATGTATCTGAGCCTTTCAAAAAAAAAAAAATCTCGAGCACAATTGGTCGATTTTCTTGATTATGGATTGAGGTAAGACAAGTTGCCTACACCAATAATTATCATCGCTGAATAAAACAGTCTTAATGAGCTCAATCCTACCTGCATAACTCATTTTCTTCCTAGACCACTGATGAAGTCTATTCTTGATGTTGTCGAGTAGGGCTTGACAATCTTTATCAGTGAGCTTTTTGGTGACTAGAGGAACTCCCAGGTAACGGATAGGCAGTCTACTAGGTTTAAAGCCAGAAGAGATTATGATAGTATAAAGAATGTGAATAGATAAACCAGTAGTGAAGATTTCACATTTTCCTGCATTAAGTTTCAGCCCAGGTAACTCATAGAAACTGTCCAGAACAGTTATGACTCCCATTACAAACTCTATATTACCTTTACAAAATATTAATAAGTCATCGGCAAAAGACAAGTGGGTGAGACTGATTTTCTTACATTTTAGATGGAAAGCAAAGACCCCCTTATTAGTAGCAGTGTTGAGCAGATTGGACAGAAAGTTCATTACCAGAACAAATAAAATGGGAGAAAGACGGTCTCCTTGTCTAATCCCCTTGGCACCTTTGAAATAACCAATCAAACTTCCGTTGATGTCGATGGAATATCTTGTATCCGAGCAGCAATTAGTAATCCAATCAATGACTTTAGGAGGGAATTCCATGGCTTTTAGTATTGTTGAAATGAAGTCTCAATTGATAGATTCAAAAGCCTTTTGAAGATCAATTTTCAAAGCACACCTTGGTGAGATGATTTTCCTCCCATAGCCTTTTACGATCTCCTGGGCAAGAAGGGTATTGTCGACAATACTTCTACCTTTGACAAAAGCAGATTGATTTGGAGCTATAAGCCTTGGAAGCAAAGAAGTCATCCTTTTGACTAGAATTTTAGTGACGCTCTTGTAAATCACAGAACAACAAGATATATGACGAAAGTCTGATACTTTGCTAGGATTAGGCATTTTAGGAATCAAAGCAATAGTAGTCGAATTAAAAGCTGGATGAATATATGATTCTTGAAAGAAATATTTAACAGCCTTAATAACATCATTACCGACCACTAGCCATGTTTTTTTTGAAAAAGAGAGAAATGAAACCATCAGGGCCTGGAGCTTTGTCGTTGTCTTGACTAAAAATAACTTCTTTAATCTCCTCATTGGTAATATCTTTAGCAAGAATTTCCTTTTCTTCAACAGAGGATGGAGGGTGAATCAAGTCTTTGAGTAGAGTAGGTGAGCTTACTTTGACATTAGGATCAGGGGATCCTAGCATCATTTTGAAATAATCAATAAGTTCCAAGGACATATCATCAAAAGATTCAAGTTTATTCCCCTGATTGTTAACCAACACCCTTATGGTCTGTCTTTTGTTTTAGTAGCAATGACTGAATGAAAAAATTTGGTACACTTGTCACCTTCTTTTAGCCAATGCACTTTAGTTTTTTGCTTCAAAAACATTGACTCAGCTTCTTCTAACGAGTTGAACTCTCTCTGCAACTCAAGCTCCTTCTCCATGGGCTCATCACCTTTTAAAGTAATAATTTGTTGTAATTGAAGTTCTTCTCACTTTTGTAAGACTCGGGCTGAAATGTCACTAAAGTAATCTTTGTTAAGATTTTTAAGACTAACTTTGAGATGTTTAAGCTTAGTGAATAAAGTCCTCATTGGGTTGCCTTTAGTCTCCAAGTTCCAAGATTGACTAACAATTTCAAGGAAATTCGGGTGAAGTGTACAACAGTTGAAGAATTTGAACGGTTTGGGTCTATTGATTTGGACTTCTTTGCTAAGCTCCACAATTACCATGCAGTGATCGGAAGGGCCAGGTGCCATGAATTCCACATAAGAGTGAGGGAAAGTTTCAAACCACAAAGGGTTGATTAAAAATCTATCTAGTTTACGAGCAAGGAAATTTTCAGTTTGATTATTACTCCATGAAAAGGTAGGGCCAAAGTATGGATGGTCTTGCAACTGTAGATCATGGGTAGTTTCTTGGAACTCTAGCATATCTGAGGAAGTGATCATTCCTATATGCTCATGATCCGAATGGCGTACGTTAGCATGTTTGATGAAAACTGAGATTTTGTAGCTGTGCTCCCGGCGAATCGATTATTCTTTCTTCAATTACTCTTTTTGTTCTTTAATCTTCAGCTGTATAAGATTCATTCAATCTTCTGATGGATTGGCAAAAATTGTTCTCCTGCTCTGTCGGTAACCAATTGCAATATTTTCCCCCAAACTCGCGAGACGGGACTCCGACCGTTCACCCTCCACCTGAAGTTTTCGAGGACGAAACAGCCGAATGGAGACTCTCACTAGTTGGGCATTTCCTTGGAGCAGCACCAAAACTCTCATCTCTGCAACAGATTATCGACAATCTATAGAAAAAACCCTTGCAAGATGCTAATGTACAGATCAACTATGCAGGTAATTGTAACACCCCCAACCCGTACCCGACCCGGATACGAGTCCGAGGTGTCACATTGACTTTTCAAACTTTGACTCATGACAAAAACTCGAGAAAATTTAAAACTTTCATTAAAGTCACAGCGGTTTATTTAACTCAATCAACTAGTATATGCCAACTATATTCAATATACAGAATACATCTAATTCAAGACATCTTTTCTGATCTGATCTTCGGTAAAAAGTAACTGACCTGTCTTGCTCCTCTTCACTTTTCTTCTAGCTTTCCGAAACCTACGTGTGAAATACTCACACGCTAAGTCGATGAATTACTGAGGCATAAAAACATATAATTCCTACTAATGCATTCATAATCTATACTTATTATATCATACACAATCATACATTCTGTCATGCAACCACTATCCACTTGTACACACACACCATTCACATATTCTTATCATATATCATTATAAGTAATCCAATTTAACAATTGATCTGGTACCAATTATATTAGTTTTGTCATCTAACACACATATCATTTCTCAAGGAAGGATACATCACATCATATAATTCTTATAACAGGTTTCATAGCACAAAACATGTAAATCATATGTAAGGTATTTATTATTATCTCTTTATTAGTCTTATTTTCGTTCTTTATCTTTTTGTCATATGTTCTTGCATCTATTCCTCTTAACCAAGCTATATACACATCATCATATCACATATATCACTTCACACCATAAATATTACAAACTAATCACATACTATCATGCAAGGTTCTTTTATATTATTTCCTTTATTAGCCCATGTACACATGTGAGAACCATATATAAGTGAGTCCATAGAGGTTGTGCACTAATGCTATCACCACGGCTCATATAAATTGCACCGAAGTGCCACGTAGAATTGCACTGTAGTGCCGTGTAGAAATATACCGAAGTGCCATATAAGGTTGTCCCTAAGGACCACATATCATTCCTTAAGAATCATATACATATGCCAAGGATAAAGTATGTGTCTCAAAAGACCTCACACATGTTCCAAGGAATACATATATGTCCCTAAGAACCGCGTAGACCCTCGACTCTTGGCATGCCAACTATACCCTTAGCTCTCAAGACACATAACATGGGCATCTTCTTTTATACTTATCATTTCACATAACACATAGTTCACTTTCACATATCACGTAGCTTATATAACTTTTCGTGTCATTTTACATTTCTTGACACCTTGCTTACATTCTATTATTATGACTTCTCATAATTACATATACACATAATCTTATAGTTCATTCACATAGCTCATCATAAATTTTCATAAGATCACACCCATTCACGTAGTTCATTTCTATATAATTCACATGTATCTATTTTGTTTCTCATATAATCACATAGTCTTATAATATTTCATACTACCTCATACATCACATCACCTAGATACATACTCAAATACTCATAGTTATATAGTATTTAAATTATTCTTATTCACATCATTCATGGTCATGTAGCTTCCATCACAAAGTCACTTATTTTATCTCTTATTCTCATATATTCATATTTATCATATAACACATAACCTATGTCATATTTATAAACATGTATTTTTATATTCTATGTGCATATCATCACTTTATATCCAAATCTCCTAAGTGATATATTATTCTCAGTTCCTTTTATAGTTCAGTCTTATCTAGTTTTCCTCCATTCTCCATAAATCTTATAACTCTAATGCACAATTTCCCATAATTGATCATCGCATTACTTACTTGTCTCATTTATGTTTCTATTATTTATATAACCTTTACACATATTTGCCTAATTCAATTTCACATACTTATCACATATGCAAGTCTTCTAATAAATTATCATCAAAAGCTCCTATAACATCTTCCTATAGCTTCATAGATCTTTACCATATAATTGATCTTACATATCCCTATAATCAGTTCTATTAATATCTCCTAATATATATATATATATATATATATATATATCTATTAATCTCATATTGTTATATAGGTCAATGTTATTTAACTTATCTCACATTTTATTTAATCCCTTAAGTTGATTCCACCAATTCCCTTATATCTAAATCAGGTAATTTATATCTTGTTCCATATTTTATGTCACTTTCTCTTGTTAACACATAAGTCGTGATTACTTTACATAATTTGTGATCCTATAACTTATATCCCATGTTCATATAGCTCATATAACAATTTTCCTATAATACATAAATCATTGTCATATAACACATATCATATAAATTCATACCACATAACATATAATACGAACAAAACATAGTCACACAATATCAAACATAATCATACTTCTACTCCTACAATCATATTGGAACCAGACTTGTCGCAAGTCCAATTTTCATATACAATATGTATATTATAATAATACGCACTCACCTGGCCTCACTAGTCAATACCGATCTCTTATCTTTTCATTGATCGATCTTACTTGCCAAATATTCTGGAATTGCTTTACGCTTAGAATCTACATAAATGTACATTTTAAGGCAATTATTAGATACCTACACCTTGTAATTGGATATTAACAACTTAAACGAACCTATTAAACCAATATTCACAACTTTCCTTTAGAGGGGGAATCGGTTCCCCTATGACATTCTAGAATTTCTGGTTCGGTTGAGGGGGTATCGATTCCCATTGAATGGGTACCGATTTCCATTGAATGGGTACCAATTCCCCTAGCCCATAAATCATGTTTTGAGCTCGAAAATCACTTCATTTTCAGCTTCACACTTCCTATTTCGCTTCCTTTAATATTCTTAACTCATATATACATACTTAAACTAATTTATACCCATTTATTTCATCTTAAACCTCAAAATTCTATTCTCCATATAGAAATCAATAATCACACCAAATTTTCCATGTTACTCAAACTTAATTCTAACACTTCTAGCTTCTCATTCTCATATATGACAAGTCAAATTCATCCTCTAAATTCATTTAAACCTTTTTATTCAAAATTTTACTTAAATACTCCAATCTTTGATCCATATTATCTTTTTCATCTTATAGTTTTAAGATAACTTAAGCTTTCCTTAAGCTTAAGTATCATCTTATGATTAAAACACAATCTTAATTTCAACTAAAAACCAACTAATAAGAAATCTCACCTTTGCTCTTGGCTTCCACACGTGAAGAAGAAAGGAGAATAAGAGAACTCTGGAAACTGGAACCTTGCTCCCTTCATTTCCACGTGTTATATCCTATATAA